CCAGACATGGCCTCTGCTTTCTTTTTTTTCTTTGTGTCCTAGATTCTGGTTCATGAATGCTGTTCCTTTTGCACTGGAAAAAAAAATTAAAGTGACAGAATTAACCATCTGTCCAGAGAAAAACTGACCCTGCCTAAGTTACCTCTCCATGTACCAAAATGTGTGTGATGTGGAAGCAGTTGGCACCATCCGCCAGCATGCACGAGGCTCTTAACAGAAGCAGACACCATAGAGGCTGTAGAGACCAGTACCCCCCTGGTCCAGACAGCTGATGACCACAGCAGTGGTGCCACTTTAGGGCAGGACCCTGGTGTGCCAGAATGTTCTGAGATCTCTTCTCTGAAAACACCTGAAAAGAAGCCAGGACTGGTTTCCCCCGGAACCGAGGCCTGTTAGGTTGGCGTCACAGACGCTGGCATCATTTGGGAAACTTACCTAAGCATTCCAGGTGGGAGTGCAGATGGCCTTGTGCCTGGTGGTGGCTTGATTTTTTTTTTTTTTTTTTTTTAGAATCAACTGGACATTAGTGGGAGCTGGCAGTTGCTAGTGGGAGACTTCACTGAGAGTGCCTGGTGGATGGGGAGGAAGCTCACACCTGGTATAAGTAGCTGCTCTTAGATACGAACGTGTAGCTCAGAGAAAACAGGTTCCTGGAGGCCACACAGCCTGGGAGATTCTGCTTGGCTACTTGGCTTTGGATAGAGCCGAACCTCTCCCAGGGACAGCCGTTCTGCCAACCTAGATGGGTGTTACAGGCCCACTGGACCCTGCAGATACACCTAATTGTATGGTTGTGAGTCCAGGTAGAAATGAGGCTGGGGTAGGGCTGGGCCGGGCCTCCAGAACCTTCTGCCTCGTGTTTGGTCTGACAAATTCAGCATCACCTGGATGGGCCATGAACCATGAAGATGGTCTAAGCTGACCCTGCCACACCAGTAACTATACCATGGAGCATAAACTCTGAGGGGCAGAGGGGCAGCTTTGGGAGGCTCACCAGCCTGAGAGGGAGCAGTGCTCCTCTGTGGTTTATTCAGAGGCTCTCTTGGCAGATAATGAAGTATCTGTTACCCTTGGATCCCAGTGGGGTCCTCCTGCCCGGGTCCCTGGAGATCACTCGGTTTTGCTGTTTCATTGTTTCCGTGGGCAGAGTGGGTGAAAAACAGACAGACACACACACACACACACACACACACACACACACACACACACACACACACACACACACACACACACACACAGGGCCAATGTCCGAAGTTAAAGGGAGCTCAGCAAAGCCCTCTACAGCTGGGCAGCCGTCAGAGCTTGCCAGCTACATACAGCCAGGTGCATTCTAAGGGTGCAACCAAGGCCCTCAGAACCACTCTTGGGCTGCAGGCAGGAGCTCTGTACTGTCAGCATGGGAATTGTATGACTCCCTGTGTCCAGAGTGGGCCCGAGGTGACTTGTGCAGCCTCGGCCACTGACCCCATAGGGCCACGTTCAGCCCCACCCAGGGTCTGGCGAACATCTCTGTTTCCCATGGCTGAACTTCTTCATCCTGTGTCAGCTGGCCTTGTACCTGTGACCTTGTCTAGTTAGAGACATGAAGTGGTGCCGTTGAGAAAGCAGGAGGGCCGGGCGGCGGTGGCGCACGCCTTTAATCCCAGCACTCGGGAGGCAGAGGCAGGCGGATCTCTGTGAGTTCGAGGCCAGCCTGGGCTTTACCAAGTGAGTTCCAGGAAAGGCACAAAGCTACACAGAGAAACCCTGTCTCGGAAAAAAAAGAAAAAAGAAAAGAAAGAAAGCAGGAGGGCTCTTCTTCTGACTCTGTGGGCACCCCGCCATCTCGCTTGTGGAACTTCCCTTCTTTGAGCCCGAGCAAGCGCAAGCTTTACTGGTTCCAACGCCACTAAGGTTCTTTTCCTAGGGAGGCCTGGGAGCCCAAGAGTTGGGTCCTGCCCGTGTCCTCCTGGTGAGGTTAGGACACAGGGTTGCCTGTCCAGGCTGCAGTATCAGGGAGCAACGGACAGCTGTTCTAAGATAATTAAATTGGGTAATCTGTACACCGTGGGCTGAGAAGTAGAGGGGTTTTACTTTCAGTCCAGGCTAGAAGAGGAGATGGGAGGGGTCAAGCTGTCAGGTAAGGATTGGAATGGCCACGAGACATTCCCTTCTCAAGAGGTAGGGTTGGAGGCTTGGACTTAGCAGCCCCGGCCCTGGGCTCTCCTCTGCCCTCTTGCCCACTAGCTTCTCTGGGGCCTTCAAAGCCCTGTGTGGATGAAGAATAGCACGAAGCTCTTGTGGGCTCTCAGTTCCACCTGCAGATACTAGCGGCCTCTGGAGATGGAGGGAGCCAAGCAGTTCCCAGCGGGCCTCAGGGTCTAGCACATCAGTAAGGAGCTCCCAGCGAGTCCCTCTAGTTTCTAGGTCCTCGAGAGTTCAATGAGAAATCACTCTCTGCAGGTAGTGCTGTAAGCAGGGTGATGTGACAAGCCTCACTGCTTTTGGCTGGTCCATGGGAGAGTAGCCTCTGGTCCTATGGTGACAAATTCTGGAGAGGACCACAATCCTAAGAGAATACCCTGAGCCTTCTTACAACCCAGAGCTCATGGAAGTGTGGATGCCTGAACCCATGGCGGGCTCAGGAGGGCAGGAAAGAAGCAGGCAATTCTGCCCAAGGCCAAAACACCCAAGAGACATTAAGAGGAGGGGAGATTCCGGGAATCATTCTGACCAGGTCTGACCCCTGGTCTTGGTATCCATTTATCAGTCCTGGCCTGTCCCCCTTCCTGGCTCTTGATGACTACTGAAGTTACTTCTTGGTAATGCCCCAGAGTCCTGTTTGTACCTCGTAAACCCCAGATATCAAGTGTCATTCCCAGAGTAAGGCAAAAGATGGGACACTTGTGAATGCCAGGCCCAGGGATATATGCTAATCCACGACATCCTTGTCTCAAAGATCCCACCCAAGTCTGCAGGGGCAGTACAGGCATTGTGAGGTGAAGACTCTCGGGGGGCCTGGTACTGTCTGACAGTGTAGGCCAGGGTGGTCCGTGGTAGTAGGAGAACATTCTGGCCATGGGGAATTGTGGCCGCCACGGCCGGGCTGGGGTGAAGGGGAGATCTTAGCCAGACACTGGCAGCCGAGCCCCATGAGCCCTCCTTCCTCTATAGTCACAGAGGACTCTAGGGTAGGGGTTAGGTCTTCTCTGTGATCTGGCTGCCTAGGAGCCATGGCAGGGAGTTGGTTTGGAATGTGGTTCCTGGCCGGCTGGAACTGGTTAAAGCCAAGCATGACTCTCTGGGCTGTTGTCTGTCTCTTGTGACCTGAAACTCCAGGCCAAGGCCACGGTGAATGGTGTGTGGGTCTTCTTATCTGGAGATGGCTGTGGGAGGGACCAAGGCAGAGAAGGTCACACTACCTCTGACCCTTCTCTCTGTCCAAGTCACATGGCCTGCCAAGCTGACACCTCTGGTTTGATTTCCTTATGTCTTGCAGAACATGGCTGCTCCAGAGAGCCTCCTAGGAAAGTGAAAGCCTGTTGTGTGTACCAGAAGACCCCGTGGGACCTCAAACACAGGTAGCCATCTGCCCCTGGGCAGAGTTCTCACTCCATCAGAGACAGCCCTGGATAGGATAGTGGACTGGCCGACAAGAATCCACAGTCGCTTTTCCGGAGAAGACGGGACCGGTCCTCTCCTCAGAGGCTTTACCTGGTGCCAGGCCTGGCCCTGCCCCCAGCCCGTCCGGGGCTCAGCCTGGCCTCCACCCAGGGAGAAAGATCCTTGCCCAGGATAGGACAGGGGACAGTGCCAAGGATTCCAGGCCCCTGCTTCAGCCCTGCCTTCTGCCCCGCAGGCCGTGATGACCTGACTTATCCTCTTGAAGCAGATGGAATCCGGCAGGGACAGATTGCCTGTGGTGGAGGGCAGAATTAGCTCCGAGACAGCCTCTTGCAGCCCAGTGACACAGTAGGCACACCCGGCCCTGTCCTCCAACCCCCCCCCCCCCCCCCTGCACGTTGTCATCCAGACTAGCTCCGTCACTCTTTAGACCTCAGTGTGCTAGTCCGCGAAATGGGCCGGGATACCCGCTGGTGGAGATCCAGGGCTGTAAGTGACCCCCTGGATACCTGTAGCTCAGAGGAAAGACCCGGTCTTTGGAAACTGCAGGTTCCCTGAGGTGGCAGACTGTGTTAATTCGCTGGATCCAGAGTGTGGCCCCCGTCCCAGCTCTCCCTAGCCTCCCCTCAGCCAGCCTCAGCAGGCTCAGCATCTGCTCCTCCGTTACTCAGAGCCATCCAGTTGGGAGTCTGTGCATGCTGGTGATACTCAGGAGGGTAGGTTGGGAAATGGTATCTGCCCGTGTCCAGTGGGTGAAGAAGCCGTGATGGTTTCTCTCATGATAGGGTGTGCAAGAGGCCTCGTCAGTTGGGATGACCTAGCCACTTGGAGGCCTGGACCTGCTGTACATCACTTAGGTAGGGCAGGGGCACCCACTCTGCCCTTGGCAGGCTCTCTATGCCACCCACCAGAGGTCCAGTGGCAGCAGGTGTGGCCAGAACTCTGAGGTTCTCTGGCATGTCATTACCTCCAGGGACGGTTTCTGTGTGTGGCTCATCCTTGCAGCCTCCAGGTCCTTGTAGGAGAGGCAGGCTCAGGACTTTATGAGATTTGAGCCCCAACATTTGGCCGTGAGGCCACATGGATAAAATAGTCTCCTGGCCTTGAGCTACCCTGAGTTCCAGATGTCTCCTAAGCTGTGCCAAGGCCTTTTGGGGGCCCTTACAGGTTGGTGTTCATGGGAAAAAATATAAATGCAAAAAGGGTGCCCATGGATGTACCCCAACATCCAACTAGTGTCTCTTTCCTTCTAGGCTTCAGCCTCTTCTTGACGGTTTCCCCAGGTGACTCTTGAAGCTCAAGGATCATGTCCAACCCAGGTCAGTGCAGTGTTTTGGTTGTTTATGGAATTCAGGGCCACCTACCCCAACTGTCCTGGATGATACTGCTGTGGGTCCATGCAGCCATGCAGACCTGGAGGTTTCCATATGCTGGGTCTTGGCTGGGCAGTCTCAACTCCTGCCAGCCTCTTTCTGGGACTCTAGGATGTCTGGACATTATCCAGGGGTATCCAGGACACTAGACTGGGCCATCTTTATGCCCCAGCTACCAAGAGGGAGATAGAACAATGAGATGACCCCAGGGCATGTGTATTACCTGCAGCATCACTCAGGGCTCCATGGTAAAAGTCCTTGCTTCCTCTGCCACGGATACCTTGCAGTTAGTTATAACCGGGAACCTGTGCACTTGGGGCCTCTTGTGCTCAGAGGTGGCAGCCAGCCTGGAAGCTGTGCTCACACTTGTCCCCGCCGGCAAGGAGCCAGATGCCAAGTACAGCTTTGGACCCACCTAGATGAATCTAGATCCAAGGCATTGGTGTGGCCATGGTCAGGGGCAGTCTCATCTCTCAGGGTGCAGGCAGGGCCCCCACGCCATCTTGTATAAGCCAGAGAAACCTATATTTGGCCTGGGAACCCTCTGCTATCTGTGCATTGGTTGTATGGGCTGACACACACACACACACACACACACACACACACACACACACACACACACACACACACTGGTCTCTGTGTCTGCACCTGGGGTCAGGGATGCTAGCCAGTGCCTGAGAGCAGAGCAAATAGACAGTTTGGGGGCAGGGCGGGAGACCTCCAGGCCTCGGTAGATGGGACAGGACAGAGCGGGAAAGCACAGGCAGAGATGGAAGAGAGACTGAACGGAACACCTGGACATACCTCAGGAGTGCAGCTGGCCCAGGTATCCCAGGGAACCTAGGAGCTCTTGGCCAAGGGGCTCTGATTCACGGATCCTGGGCTTTCCTAGGAACCCACCCTAAGCCAGACCTGCCTGTGATACCCCATCTCAGCTACAGTCAGCCTCCAGTACACACAATCCCCCAGTATGTCCCATGGACATAGATGGGGTGCACCTTTTACAAGGACTCAGTCCCGGAATGTGCCCCCGAGTCTCTGAGTCCTGAGTGCTAATATATGTGGGAGACTGTGGGTGTAGGGCTCCAGGAGCAAAGCTGGGAGTCTCAGAGGGACCCTGGGCCAAGACCTATGAGGAAGGGTCCAGAAGAGAAAAGGATGGGCGGGGTTGGGGAGAGTGGCCAGTCCTGGTCCATGACCCAGCCCCTACTTAGCACCAGGCACACAAAATACACTGGATGTATGCAGTAGGTGCTTACTCAGTGCGAGTGTTAGTGAGGGTTAATTACAGAGACCCACCACCCCCATACACAATATGGGACTTACCATCCCATTCTCCTTTCCAGGGGCCTCTACGGGTAGAGAGAGCTAGCCTCGCCTCACCTGTGGCCTGGGGACACTGGGCCATGAGGTCTTTGAGGCACCTGCTTAGACTGGGGGGGCTGTGGCAAGTTTGGGGCTCTAGGGTTCAGTTGGCAAGGTTGGAATTGCACCCTGAGGAATCTGCCAGACTGGATCTGGGCCTGGGAGGTCTGAGCACAGGCAAGCCCCTGGCCTTGTGCTCTCTCCATGCTTGTTTAGCCAGCCATGACCCCCACCGGGCTAGCACAGCCGCCCACCGGCCTAGCAAGTGGTGGCCACATGGCCTTGCTCAGTCTCTGAGGGAAACTGAGGCTTGGGAGCGGTGAGCTGGACAGCCAAGGTAGACGCACACTAGAAGTTATAGATGTGGCTTCCAGATTCCCAAGGTCTGGCACTCCCAGCCTAGAGACCAGCTGCCCCCAGGGTCTTCTGGAGGGCGAGAAAGGACACAGATTTATGTAATAGCCCGACACTGTTGTGTTTTTTAAAATAAGGTCTCTAGCCTAGATTTGAACTCTTGATCCTCTGCCTTCACCTCTGGAGTGCTTGGGTTATAGGTGTGAGCCGCTACAGCCCGTTTATATAGTGCTGGGGGGCTGAACCCAGGATTTGAGGCTTACTGGCCAGGTACTCCACCCTCTGAGCTCCAGCTCTAGATCTCTTAAAAATTTTATAAGGATTCTTAGCTGGGCAAAGGTGGCACACACTTTTAATCCCAGCACTTGAAAGGCAGAAGCAGGTGGATCTCTATAAGTTCAAGGCCAGCCTGGTCTACAAAGCGAGTTCCAGGACAGCCGAGGCTACACAGAGAAACCCTGTCTCGGAAAAACAAAACAAACAAAAAGGATTATTTTAAAAATCAATGTGTATCAGCATTTTGCCTCCATATGTGTCTGTGTGCCACGTTTGTGCCTGGTGCCCGTAGAGCCTAGAGGAGGGCACTGGGTCTCCTGGAACTGGAGTTCCAGATGGTTGTGAACCACCGCGTGATGCTAGGAATAGAACTGGAGTCCTCTAGAAGAGCAAAGAGTGCTTTTAACTGCTGAAGCATTGCTCCAGCGCCAGGATGCTCTTTATGTCGTCTTACAAATACCTTGCATTTGCTCCTTGGCCCCAGTGCAGTTCCTGACCCACACAGACCCAGCCTTGGTCTAGCACCAGCTCTGTCTCCCTGTGGCGCTCCAGCCTCCAGCTCCCAAGGACCCCCGGCCAGCCAGGCTGAGTGAGAATGATTCTGGAGAAATGTTCCTGGGAAGCTAAAAGGCCCCGGGGAAGGCACCGTTGGTCTTTGTGGGATGTGCAGCTTCCTGGACCTCTGTCAGAGAAGCTCTGATCCCTCGGAACAACTCTGTGGCCCCTCACAATGTCGCTGAGTTTTGTATTCTTGTTCCTAAAACATGGGAGGATGAAAACTCCCATGCTGCTGTGTGACTGGGGATGGGGGGGCAGGGTGGAGAGTAAAATCCCAATGTTTCTGTGCTCCACCCTTTAGCCAAGGACCACGTTGTCACAAGGACAGAGTGGACCCTAGCTGTGAGCGACTTAGCAGTGCCTGGCACATTGAAGGTACAAAATGCTCACGCTCGCTGGACCTTGTGGCAAAGGCCTGTGTGATCCTTGTTACTCGGGAAGATGTTGAGGCCAGCCTGAGCTATAGAGAGTGGATCCAAGGTCAGCCTGGGAAACTTAGCAAGGCCCTCAAAATAAGACTTTTGAAGGATGTCACTTAGTGGTAGAGGCCTGAGTTCAGTCCCCAGTACCACCAACCGTGTCCCCTCCCCCACCCCACCCCCCGCCCAAATTGTATTCATACCTATGGGTCCTTAGTGTGTACCCAGCACCTGACTCATGTGTTTACAGCACTCTTGAATGGATGGGGACTTGAAGCCAGAACCCTATGGCTTCCCACTGAGGAGAGGCCCTTAGTGCTTTAAAAAAAAAAAAAGAGGCCGCTGTGCTATGAGCGCCCCAGAGTTCCCAGGACTGCTATGGTTGATGAATGGGGGTCCACCCTGCCCATGTGGCCGTGGCAGTTTCACCCTGCAAAGATGACGCGGACTCCTCTCAGTTCCACTCCTGTTTTCATTTGTTTGTTTGTTTGTTTGTTTGTTTTTGTCTTGTCACAGGCCCCGCCCTGGATTCATGTCGACTCGTCCCTGTCAGAGGCCCGAGGCCCTTGGCTGTGTGAGTTGCATCTCTCCCGTGACCCAGCCACCCTGCACGGTGGCTTCTGTGGCTAGTATCCCTGCCCCCCGGGGCCTCAGACTAGCTACCCGTGAAGTGGGGTTGTACACCGCACAGATTTTTGCTCTGCGTAGGTCAGGAGACAGCCTGAGTGGGACCAGTAGCCCCTAGGGCCGACCTCTCCGCCTCTGGTTTATAACTGGATTCTGAATAAGACAGAAACGAGGGTGGTGAGGGGGACACAAAGGAGCCCCTACAACACCTGGATCCGTTCCTCTGTGGGACTCTGGCCCATCACTGAGTGCCTACTGCCCTCCGCCTAGAGAGGCTTGGAGACCAGCCGTGGTGGCCGGGCAGGGGGACCCCTGGCCAGAGGCCAGAAAGGGGGTTGTGAGTAGATGTTGGTCGCTTGTTTAAGAAGCAGCTGGAACAAGCCGAGAAAGCAAGGGCTGTCTCTAGCTGTATCCATAGAAAGCGGGGGAACAGGGCGTGGCCATACGCTCCTGAAGGAAGTCCCCCTGGCGTTCTGTTGATGGCCACTTTGGCAGCTGACCCCTTGACCTGTGGGCCCCAGATGGGAAAGGAGCTATCTAGCCCACTAGTTCTTGGAGCACAGGATGGCACTTGAGCCCCCTGGCTTGGGCCCTCCCCAACCTGGGCAGTTAAGGACATGTCCTGCAGAGACCCTAGGGCGGAGAATTGTAACCCAGAAGAGCTCAGCCCCGGGAAGCCTCACGGCTTGTGGGACCAACTGTCACCATAAAGTGGGAGAACCTCCGTGTTCTCTGACAGGCACACCACCCGGAGCCCCTTGAAGGGAAGTATGGAAGTCTCTGGAAGCCCTGAGTATGCTTGGAGCTTGGGCGGGAGGAAGGCTCTGGAAGCAGGCTTGTTTCATTAGGCGATTGTTCCTCCTCCCCGCCAGGCATCCACTGGTCTCACCCTCTGGCTTTCGCGGCCTTTGTCTTGCAAGGGTGCCACAAAATGGCCGACACAGCCCTCCGCCATTTTGTAGCTGAAACGAGCAGTAGCCTTGCAGAGGGGGAGACCCCTGCTTCCTGCCTGCCCCCCGAGTGGCCTGGACGGAGCCCAGGACCAGCCCCCACCCTGCTTGGCTTTGGCCATGGCCGCCCCGGGCTTGGCACAGCCAGCTGCTTGGCAAGGCAAGCCTGGGAGTCCTGGCCTCTTACCCAGATCCACTGATTCCTTGCTACCCACCAAGCAAACGAGGAGGAGGCTGCACATCAGAATCCGGAAAACCCGCCACCAACACTGTACTTTTAGAGGGAGTCCTTGGCAGGGGTGGTCCTAGAAATGATGTCCCCACTGTGGTACCGGGTTCCTAAGTGGAGCCATCATCAACAAGCATAGGTTTGAGTTAGGTCCCCCGGAGAGGAAAGCCTGCAAATGCCCTTCATACCCCTGACCTGCCCCAGGGACCTTGGGCCTCCCTGGCTGAGCATGGTACAGAATGCCAGGGGTTCACAATGGCCAGACCGTCTCCTGGCCCGGGTTGCCTATGATGTTGTCACATAGTCCAGGTACTTGCTAGAGGAGGATGCTTTGCTCCAAGGGCAAGGCCACCCCCCCATACCACCGAGGCTCTGAGGTACACGAAGCTTTTCCCCGATCAACACTGCTCCTCTGCCTTCCCAGAGATCAGAAGCAGCCCATCCCAGAGCGATGCCATAATGATGCCATCCAGGCCCCCAGCACCCCAGCAGCCCCGAGTCATCATTATACTGACAGTACATTCCAGCTTCCGAAGGTAGGACAAACAGGGCAAGCTCTGGGAGCTGGGAGTGGCCAGCCAGCCCCGCCACCTCCGGGATGGGGGTCCATTAAAGAAGCTACAAGGTGGTTTCCCGTGAAGTAGGGAAGAGGCTACGGCATAAAATGCCTTTGAATCTTCCTGGGCAGCATGGGGATTGCTCCATGGCCCTGCCGGGCCCTGTACTTTCTGCCAGGATAGCAAGAAGCTGTGTGTAGTCAGCAGGGCCTTGCTGTCTCCTCTAGGAAGCTAGCTGGATGCCGCTGCCGCCGGCCCCAGACTTCTTTCCCACAGCTCCCAGGAAGAACATTCTGCCACCCTGAAGTGAGGCTTGCTCAGGCCATGCCCTCCTTCAAGGGAGCTCCGGCAGAATGTCCCAACGCTCACCTGCCCAGACCAGTGCCTTCCCATGTGCCAGGCCACCACAGAACCTGCCGGGGTCCTGGGGTATAGGCTTCCTAGAACAAGAAAAATTTCCCAAGGGAGGCCAGGCTCAGAGGGAGTTGGTAGAAGGGGGGCCGTGAAAGAACAGGCAGAGTACATGCTTCACGGTGTGGCACCTGTAGTCAGTTCCCACGCAATGGCCTTTCCCCCAGTGTACAGCAGGCCATCTGTGCTTTGCCCTAGGCATAAGCCAGCAGCTTCCTTATGCCCCCGGCTACTGTCCATACCAGAGAGCTATCTCACTGGAGCTATCTCCCTGGCTCTCCGGAAAAGGTACAGAGCCAGCTGACCTTTGCCTCGGACCCTGTTTCTAGATGGAGAGAGCGAGGCTCAGATCTGGGCCTGCCCAGGCAGCTCTAGACCCCGAGTCTCCCCTGGTCTCTCGGGAGTCTTCCTGCAAGTCAGCGTTCATCACCTCTGTTCTAGGGGTGGGCGTGCCACCAGGGTACCACAGGTCTCAAGTCTACCCAGAGCCCAGTGCAGGTCAGATCCATCTTGGGGGTCAGCAAGACGTGTGTAGGGCTGGAGAGAGCCAGGCCCAGGGCGTTTAGAAGCTAGCTCCAGGTTTGACCTTGCATCCCTGTGGTACACTTTTAGAAGAGGGTGTTCAAGATTGTGGGGCACTTCCCCACACCCCCAGTGCCAGAGCAGTCCAGTCTGAAGCCAGGGGACACCGAGCAAAACCTGGGTCATCTTCGCTCAAATATGATCTTGTAATGGCTCAGGGGTGTTCGCATTTGTCTTTTCTCTGAACGTCACACAAAAGCGTTACTCGCCTTGGTGACGGAGATTTTGGTCACCCCCAACATGCCTGTCTTAGCCAGACCCAAGATGGTCCTCAGTGGGCATGGCCTGCCTCTGGGCACACCGACCCAGGCCTCGTCAGGGAGCATTCATCTTGTTAACTTTATGGGCCGTGTTCACAAGGAGACCCGCCTTCTGCCCAGCCGGATGCCACCCTCCCATCGTTCCCAGACTCACTGTTGGCATGGCCTACTGAGCAGAGACACTGGTCGCTTTATGGGAGAAACCTAATCAGGGAGGCCAGGATGGGGGGCGGGGGCTGCCATGAAGGGGAGGGGGGTCTGGCTCTTGGTGGCCCCAAGCCAAGCCTGAGGTGACTTCAGGGTGACACCGTCTGTCTGCCTCTCTCTCTCTCCAGACATCCGCCCAGCCCTGAAAGGGCCACCTGCCTGCCTAGGTCTTCAGCGCACCTGTCCTGGCCAGCCTGGCTCCTCCTCCAGGCACCCTGCCCGTGGGCAGACACTGCCGGACTGGGGCAAAGCTGAGAGCTGGCAGCTGGCAGATGGCAGGGCGTCAGCTGACTGCTCACTCCCTGGTGACCTGTTCAGGATCGCCATTCATGTGCACTGCCCGCCCTCCCTCCCCCAGCCTCGCCTCACTGGGTCCCTCTGGTTTGTTTCAGGATCCCTTCCCTGTCACCCCTTGAGAAAGGAGGCATTTTATGTGGGTCCCAGCGCCCCCAGGGCTGAGGCCAGTGGTCAAGGCCTAGCTGTTGTACAGGTAAGCCTGGCACAGCCAAACACCCCGCAAGTATGGAACTGGGCCTTTTCCTCACTCACTCACAAATGGCTCTGGAGTCCAGACCAAGAAAGGGTGACCCTTCCTGAAGTCTTGTGGAACCAGTGTAGTAAGCCCCCGGTGTAGGGCAGAGCTGCCTAAGAACTGAGGAGACCATGGTAGTAGCCATGCCTGCCGCCAGAGCATGGAGAGACACCTGAGAGAAATGGACCCAAGAAGGGCACCTATGGGTCAACCTCACTAGACTCGAACCCTGGGCGGAGTGAGGCCCCCTGGAGAGCAGGAGCCTTGTGGAAAGAAACAGGAAGAACAGGTCAGCGGTTCCTGGCAGAGGGACAGACCAGGGCAAAAGGCAGGAGGTGGGGAGGGCCTGGGAGATGGCCAAGGAGGGCAGAGGAGGCTTGCCCAGGGCATTTTGCTGCTTTGTGGGGTGGGGGAGGGGCCGATGGGCACAGTGGGAAGGATCAGAGAAAGAGTGTCTGTGTGATGGATAGCTGGGCTGTCTTGGGGGTGCGGGCAAGGCGGGTAGTCAGGGAGAGGGCTTTCCCACCCCTGTGTCCTCACCAGACCCTCAATAACCAATGGCCTCATCTTCCTTTCCTTGAGCTGTGAGGGAACAACAAGGCTCCTAACAAACCACCCTGGCTTGATGGACAGAACCGGGCAGATCCCAAGCAGGGCTCGTCTCTGTATTCCGCACCCTAGGCTCGGCTCCAGAGCCCTGCGGCCGGCCAGGCTGCTTCTCACTGCCGCCATGTCCCTGCTTGGCCTTCCATCTTTCTGCTGGCTCTGCCCTGATGCCTTGGCCAGAGTGGGTCCAAAGGAGGTAAGAGAGCAACTTGATCCATGGAGCAAGCCTGTGTGATCCAGTGAGCCCCTTCACTGGGTCTCTGCTCTTGCGGGAGAGAGGCATCACTTGCCCTATGTCCTAGGGAAGCTGCATCTCGCTGACCACCTCTGAAAGGATGAACTCTCCTTCCCGGGTCCAGTTAGCTACCACAGTGTACATGAGGGCGAGCATGAGCCTGTCCCTTCATGGTGCTTTCTCCCTCCCTCAGACCTCACAGCCAGTGGCCAGGAAGAACACTGGCCACCCACATAGACATGCTCGGCCACCACGGATGAAGTTGGAGTCATAGTCTCTGACCAGCATGTCCAGCGTGCAGGGCTGGTTTTAGAAGCCATTCCATCCAAAGCTTTGCGTGCAGAGTGTCACCAGGCAGCAGACAGGACTGGATGAAAATGTCATTGTGCCGTGGGCTATCAGGGTGCAGCCAGGGCGGGCATCCAGGGGCCAGGCTTTCTCCCTTCAGAGGTTGATGATCATTGCTTTTGTTTCTAAACCCAGGCAGGTCAGGAGGTGATGGTACCAAGCAGGAGCTTCTGTGTGCAGCTGACTCCCCTGTGGTGAGTGGGACCCCGCTGTCCTTCCTCGGAAAGTAGGGGGCCATGGGAGACCTCAGAGTGAGAAAGGATAGGCTCAGAGTCACATCACTGACGTTGCTCCAGCACCTCAGCTTAGATGTCTTTGCCTGGAGGCCTGTACTCCCCCCCTCCCACGCACCCCAGGACTGTGCCTCCCACCAGCAGACTGCCCCCAGATGAGTCATCTCATCTACCCATAATGCACTGCGATATGATGCTCTTTGATCCCCTCTCAGCCGACCCAGGCCGGACATGGTTTAACAGAACTCCAGTTCCATTCATTACTGGCTCTGAGGGGAAGAGAGGAGCAGCCTCCCTACCCTGAAGAGACACTGTCCGGAGGCTCACACCCTTCAGGTCACCCAGCCTTGAGAGCTCTCTGGGGACTTCAAAGGCAGCTCTTTTCTCTCTGTCCCCCACTGCCATCACGCAGCCCTCCGGTGTGGTGCTAATAACCCCCGCCCCCATGCCACCCAGCGTTGATGGAGGACGTGCCAGAAGTGCCGTGCCTGGAGTAAGAAGAAAGGCCAGATGAGGGGAACAGAATCACTTCTGTCCCCAGGTTGGGCTAAGGCACAGGGGGTGCCTGAGTCATTGTCAGGGAGGGACCAGGATGCTTGCCTCCAATTATTTCTCTCCCACAGCTTTGGGCTCTGCATGTCTTGGGTTGCAGTGAAGCCCAAAACCTCGGGGAGGGTAGGCAGGGACAGGTGCAGGACAGGCCCTTTGGGGGCTGTCACAATGGCACACCAGCCCCCTGCTGATTCCTAACTCCCGTGGCCAAGGAGCTGCTGAGAATCCCCAAGGGCCAGCTAAAGGGACCCCACAGAAATGCAAGGTGTGCATAAGATTACCCAGTGAAAAGAGACAGCCAAGACCTTCCAGGGAGTCCTGCTCACCATACTGTGTCCTGCCGGCTAGGGGCAGAACCCCAAGTGTTGAGAGGCCCCTGTCAAGGTGTGCCTTCTTCAAGGTGCTTCTGAGGGGCCCAGATGGGGATGGCCAAAGTGGCCTTTAGTCATTCTCCCACAGCCAAGGTGCATCCTGGGAACTGACAAGGTTAACTGTGGCCAGGCAGTGACACCCCTCTACCTTCCCACCTGGTCCATTCATCATAGACGGAACATGAGGCGGGCACCTGAACCACACTCTCTTCCCATAGGCCTTCCTGCTTTGCTGGCTCTACTTGGACCATCCTTGGGGATATTTGACCTGTCTGTTAGTTAGTGAACGGGTCCAGGCTTGAGGCAGGGGATGGCACACCAGTGGCTCACATAGATGTCCTCTGGGGCTGGACAGTGCCTGCCCACCGAGGGCCGGGCCACACTAGCACTCGGGGGCCTTGTTCCCAAGCCACTCTGCCTCATAGACTTCAGGTCTGGGTACACAGTGTGGACTTTAAACCTCATGGCTCCATTTTGACCCAGGGTCCTCGGATTTGCTCCTGTGACCCTTGGCAGGGAGGGAGGGAGGTGTGGCATCATACAGAGAACAAAAGCTGCCAGTCTTCCTGGGACCGGGTAGAGAGCTTCCCTCTGCGTTGCCGGGCAGACCTGTCTGCGGCCTGTAAGCAGCGGTCCTTTCCCCTCTGAAGGCAGAGCCACCTGGGACTAGAAACTCGGCCTTCTGAGCCTCAGTTTCTTCACAGTGACCCCACCTCACAGACTGCCCAGCCGGGTGCCTGCCTAGAAAAACTGTGGAAGGAGGGCCTGTAATGGAGTCTCCAAGTCTATGTTGGAACCGGAGAGCAGAGAGCTCCAGGAGCATCTTACAAGGTGGGAAGAATGCTCCAACACACTGCTACTGCTCCGCTGGAGAGGCTGGAAGCCTTGGTTATAAATAAGATAGGCTTAAATACACTGGCCCAAGGTTTCCCCGGCAAGCTAGTGGCTGTGGGCAGTGTGGACAGGCTGACTGTTGCCCCAGAGTGGATCTTACCTGTCCCACTACACAGTGAGCAGTACGGGCCACACCAGGCTGCCTGGCCTGACCAGGGCGTCCTCCCTGCTGGGCTCTGTCCAAGGCTCTGGGAGCCCCAAACTCAGAGCCAAGCACAGAGCCCCTGCGGGCTTCAGGAAGTGCTAGTCGCCAAGGACAGACTGGCCATCAGTGTCCAGCCAGGGTCTGCACTTCCGCCCAGCTGGCCGCCATGGGGAGCTAGGCTGCCTCCCACAAGGAAAAAAAAAATGGTTTTGAGCCTTCTGCAGCAAGGTCACTTGAGGCCACCCTGAGCGGGGAGGCAGGGACAGACCCAGAGCCCTCAAGGAGGGGCTCTTCCTGTGTAAGAGGAGGAGGGTACATGCCCAAGGCCTCTTCATGGCTGGAGTTCTGGTGCCTTCAGCTCTGTGGGTGCTACAGCTGAGTGTACAGAGCCTGGGTCTCAGCCTGGTGGGCACTGGAAGCCCCCCTGGACCTGGCTGGCCTTTGACAAGTGACCACCCTTCCCCCATGGTGGCCATTCCTGCCTAGTGACTGGTCAGCTTTTCCTCTCTCCTCCCCCCCCCCCCCCCCCTCTCTCTCTCTCTCTCTCTCTCTCTCTCTCTCTCTCTCTCCCCCCCCCCCGCCCCCTCACTTCCTTCATTCTCTCTGCTTGGTGATTTTGTTAAGTGTCCTGGCCCACTTTGGGGGGAATCCCAGTCTGCCGCTGGGCTGATGCCCTCAGCACCGAGCTGGCCATGTTGGGCCCCTCACCATATTCCCAGCTCTCCTTCTTCCTCCAGGAGGTATCTCGAGACGCCGGTAACATCCAGCTCTGCACTGACCAAGACTGACCGACGGCCTTTGGGGTGAGGTAGTAGGTTGTATGGTTTTGGGCTCTGCCCCGCTCAGCGGTAACTATACAATCTACTGTCTTTCCTGAAGTGGCCGCAATATCTGCAGTGGATCCGCCAGCCCTGCCTTGGGAGGCTGAGGGAGGCACAGGGGTGGTATCTGCCGTGCACAAAGCAAGTCCAACAGGGGGGACCTTGGACAGTCCCTTGACCCCTCTGGTCTGTTACTCATCTGCAAGCGTTGGGGCGTCGGGGTGAAAGCAGACATGGAGCATTTCCAGGCACCTCCTCTCCCTTGACCGCACGGAAGGGCTTTCCTTCCTCTGACCTCGTCACATTAGGCCTGGGCTCACAGCCCTCCCCGAGGGAAGGGTCTGGGCTGGACCTTCACCTCTGTTCCAGAGTTGCTACACACTTCACACTTGGCATATGCCCAGGCTTTCCAGCTCAGGGTCAGGTCCCGAGACACAGAGACGGGGCATCTTTTCCATGAAGGAAATGAGAGGGGGGTTCTCAGCATGGCTGGGTACCCCGTGAGCACAATCACACAACTGGACTGGGTAGGCCACTGTCCCCCGGGGTGATGGGCTCAGACACTGGGGGCTTCCCTCACCCGTCTGGTGGGTACAGGTCTCTCTGAACCACTTTCTTCACTCCCCCCCTCCTGCCCTGTGCCAGCTGTGCCCTAGGGCTCTGGTGGCCTGTGGCCAGGGTGGGTGGGGAGGGGCTGGGCCTCCTCCAGAACATGGACCCCGCAGGGTGAGGTAGTAGGTTGTGTGGTTTCAGGGCAGTGATGTTGCCCCTTAGAAGATAACTATACAACCTACTGCCTTCCTTGAGGGGCCCAGGAACACAGCCACACGGAGGCCCCCCGCCCAGCGAGCCACGTGGAGAGCCTGTGCCACAGATGGGGTGGGGGCGGCAGTGTGGGGGCTGGGTCAAAATAAAGGCTGCGGTGACATGAATTTACACCTGGTCCTTGGTCATTGTGGAAGTATGGTGACGGGCGGCAGCGGAAGGGCGTGAGAGCGCGGACCACGGTGTCGGGACAACGCTGCCAGAGCTGCTCCGGGTAGCGGCTGCTCCCCATCTCTCACACGGCATGTGCCCCTCTGGGACCTGAGCCCTGGAAAGGCCACTTGGCCTCTCCCTGCACCAGTGGAGTGACAGATCCTGTGACTCCAAGCCAGTGTTCACAGCACCCCCCAAGGCTGGCTCCCAGTGTCCTTCAACCCGTGGTCCCGACCAGATCCAAGAAATTCCTGTCCTTCCCTGCCTCCCTCCCTTGGGGACAGTATTGGGGTGACCCCGAATGTAACTCTCCATCCTTAGGCCAAATGTCATTTGCCTTCTACCAGGGACTCTAAGCCTTCATTCAGGCAGCTGTTGGGGGAGGGGTCAGTCCTCAGCTAGGGTCAGCTTAGGAATGTAGAGTCCTGTTTTTTTCTTACCTGACCAGATGCCAAGGGCCCTCTCGCTTGTGGGTGTTGGCATGGCTGGGTCGATTCCTTGGCCCTGGTGTCCTGGCTTTCTCCCCATATTGAATGTCCTTAGTCTCAGTTTCCATCCTGGATCCTGAGCCGCCTCAGCTCTGAGCACCCACACACCTGCATGGGCACGCCTGGGCAGACCAGCAATCTTAGTGCCCATCCACATCCATCCTTGGCTACCAGGCCTCTCAAACAGCCTGCCACTCCTGAAGACCTAATGCTGTGCTAAGCCCAGGGCTGAGAGTACCCAGAGGAGTCTACGTAACAGGGAGGACTTTCCAAAGTAGGGGCTATCTGAGCTGGGTCTTGATGGCTGTGTAGGAGTTGGCAGCTAGACACTTACAGACATAGATGCTCAGACATTCAGTAGAGTGTCCTGTCTCTTCCTTGCCATCTTTTGGGGCCATGGTGGATGATAAACTGTCACCTTTTCATCCTGTGGTTGGTTAGTCAGTCACATCTGTCAGCTTGTCCTCTGAATGTCATTTCTGTCCATCCACCCTTGCAGGCCTCAGGACCGAGAGGGGAGTCCTTCCTGCCCTTCCCTGAGCATAGCCTTGTCCAATACCTTCACCATCCCTTGCCCCCGCCACCATACTCCTGCTCAGCCCAGCACCCCACCCCTTCATCCCCACACAGACCCAACCTCTGGTTACCGCAGCCAGCTGTGTCTGTGTGAGCAGACTGACATATGGACAAGTCACGCCCACCTCCTGACTCCTACACTGCAGTGGGAGATGGCCTGTGGCCTGCAGAGCTCAAGTCCTCGGAGCACAGACAAGGACACACACACAGCGGCCACCTGTGGGAGCAGCCGGGGGGTGGGGGGCACATCTAAGAGACCCCCAGGAGTTCTGCAGTCAGGGCACCTTCCTGGGAGATGACACCTGCCCTGTCCCGTGTCCCCTCTATATTCTATTGACTCTCCTCTGACAGCTGGCTGTCACTAGAGATAAGGGTGCATGTGGGGGTCGGGGTGGGAGCTACCCAGCACTCTGCAGAGTGGAAGATCTAGGGGCTTCGGCCCAGGGAGACCCTGTACTCACTCCCCCACGTCCATATCCTATCGAGGGAGCAGAACAATCCCACTTGAGAGAGTGGAGTCGGTATATCAGGACACCCCAGATGACAGGGTCTCAGGGAAAGTGCACAGGAAGGGTCCTGGTCCCTGGCCGGACACCGGATGCCACCTGCCGGCCAATCTAAGAAGTGGATCCTGGACTGGCCCTTGTACCAGGTTATGATGAGGGGAGGAGATGGGGGCTGCTGTTCGGGGGTCCGAGAGGATTGAGCAGGCTGGAGGTCCTAGGATACACCCATCCAGGCAGGCTGGCACTATAAGGATGTACATAAGAGACCTTGACGACAAGCTAGTTCAAGACCAGGGAGGAGAGCAGATTGGAACTCCGGTGGCCTCAATGCAAGGAAGCCAGACTCCACATTAACCCCTCAAAGCCCAGGCAGCATGGAGAAGGTGTAGCTGAGTCATGCAGGAGCAAGACCTGTACATCCGTGCTCCTCCTGGGATGACTCACCAGAGATTAGTGGGGAGGTGGGGGGGTCTCCTGGGTGTGACAGGTGCAGCAGTGACAGAGGAGCCAGCAGTTCTGGGGGGCTCAGGAGTCCCAGAGCCACAGGCCAGGGCCTTGTGAGACCCACAAGGCTGTTAGTGCTCCCCAAACAGTTCTACTTCTTAAAAAAAATTTTTTTAAATGAACAAAAAATATTGGATATAGATTATATAATGAATACTGCCTATAGTATTATGATTCAGAAGATATTACATAGCAGAATGAATATAAGCTTTCGTTCAGTGTTTTACAAAGGGAAGACCCAGAGTGAGGCCATCTAGGGTTATATACGTCTACACCACTCCTGACAGGCATGTATGGGCGGGGGATTCTTTTTGTGTGTGCAGAGGCTGTAGGAAGGGCAGTGCTTGGGCCCTAAGGTATATTTGTGGGGCCCGTCCTGGGAAGGGAGTCCTCTACCATCCACCCTTCCTGACCAGCCAGAGAGAGGCACTGAAGGCGCTGCTCCACCTCCTCCGCTGGGTGGTGTGCTTCCCAGCAGCGACACCGTGTGGCAGCAGGAGACTATGGCAACTGTGAACGGAGATCAAGCTCCACCCACCCTCAGCTCCACTGAGGTTGTGATATGGGGGCAGAAATGGCGGTGGGGGCGCTGTTCTGGTCTATGCCGACACTGGGTTCAAAGATAATTCAGGGAAGGTCTGCATGGAGCTGGAACAGTTCCTGATGTCCCCGAGCATGCTTTACCTGGTACCTACCTTGTTCCACCTGTCTCCACTCCGCTCTCAGCTCTTTGCATGATACAGCTATGCAATGGGCTGCCCGGGAGTCCTTCTGAGTCACGGGAGGGCAATGAGCCCAGGGCACAGCTTGGCAGCACCCTGATCAGGTCTGGTTTGCTCCCTGTGAGTCAGTAGCACTATTCAAACACCCTTCCAATGGGCATCATGGAACCAGCCTAAAAGGGAAGGTGACCATCCCAAGACTAGGGTGATGTGAGGAGGAGATGCCTGAGTCTTTTGAGACCTGAAGATGGGGGTGGCCTGGGCAAGGGAGGTGGCTGAGGGGAGGCCCCAGCTTGGGAGGTATCTCTTATGGCTGGGCCTTGGGTGTTTGCACATGCACATGTGCCCATGACCCTCTGGCAGATGCATACCTGTCCTGTGACATTCAGCGGGCATGTGTCTCTGGTGTCACCTGCTGAGATGCACTGTGGCACCGGAGAAGTCCCTGTGCCAGCTGGTGAATGCAGCTGCTGAGCACGCCACTCTCTCTCAGGAATGGGACAAGGTGGAAAGAGCCGAACTGTACAAACTGGGACGGCCGGAGAACTGAGATAGGCCGGGAAGCAGAGTGTCTTTGGGTCTGGCTTGCTCATGGGCCCAAACCCCAGTACAAAGGCAGGAGGGACTGCCAGTCACCCCATGCTTCCCCCTCACTTGTTGCATCCGGATGCCCAAGTTCATCATGCACACCCTTGCTAGCCTCAGCCTCTTCCTGCCCAACCAGGATCCAGCCTGGAACCCCAACTGTCTGTGGTCCAAAGTGGGAAGCCAGGCTGCTCTATTCTGCAGGGGTGGCTCCCTGGGGGTGGGAATGGGAGGCACAGGCTATTGGCGTAAACACAGGAGTGCTGGTGGCACACCTTCAGGATGTCTCTCGTTCCAGTCTTCAACACGAGCCCTGGAGGCGCTCTTCCCGAGCCAGCTTCATGGACAC